ACACACAAACACGTGCTTGTGGAAGGGGGGGGAACAACTTCAGCTGTTGTTCCTCATCTTCTTTTATTTTGAGACAGGGTCTCTCATTGTCTTGGAGCTCTCCACCTAAGCCAGGCTGACTGGCCAGTGAGCCTCAAGGATCTGTTTCTGCCTCCCCAGCAGTGGGATCATAAGCACACCTAGCAACCTACCACACCTCACAGTTTAAAAATACAGTTGCTGGGGGTCCAGCTGTCCTCCTGCTTACCCGGCAGCAGTCTACCAACTGCATGGTGACCCTCGCCCCTCAGCGCAGTCTTACAGTGCTCAGCACTTCTCGGCTTAGCTCCAGCCCGCAGTTTTCTGCTTCTTGTTGTTCAGCCTGATTGAAACTGAGATGGATGAACACACTCCACTAACCGCCTTAAAAACCACGGGTTTCTGCCGGGCGGGTGGTGGCGCACGCCTTTAATCCCAGCACTTGAGAGGCAGAGCCAGGCGGTTCTCTGTGAGTTCGAGGCCAGCCTGGGCTACAGAGTGAGTTCCAGGAAAGGCTCCAAAGCTACACAGAGAAACCCTGTCTCGAAAAACAACAAACAAACAAACACCCCACGGGTCTCTGAGGCCCACTGTGCGTTATGTGGGGTATAATTCCTTGGTTGTATTTGAATTGAGCTGTGATTTTGCTGGGGGACCCTGAAACACCGTTTCTGAAGAGCATTTTCTAAACTTAAAGGTTCCCGTTGATTGAGGTCAGTAAATTGTCATGCCACCTCCTGAGCTATCTCTGCCATCAGCACAGGCATAAGTGGTGACTAAAGGCCAGACTGGAGGTCACCATGTAGGAATCCCATGGGTTCCTCCCCACCCCACCCCTAACCCGCAGGCCTAGATGCCACACAGAGTCTGAACAATGAGATGCAAGAGAGCAAACATTTTCCGGCCCACATGGATGTGATCCTCTGTGTGAAGGGATCTTCCCCCTGGCAAGGGACCATGTGGCATTGCTATCAGAGGCTAACATGGGTCCTCAGTCTCCTAATTCACTTGTGCCTGAGCTCTCTCCCCTAGAGAAGGGAGCAGGGCATTTACAGGAATTGGGTCCCACATCTACCTCTCAGGGAGCAAGGAACAAACACCTTTTTGTTGTTGTTGTTGTTGTTGTTGGTATTTTAGTGCCATTGTCTGCAGGTGCGTCTTCCTGATGCTCCTGAGGACCTTTTGACTCGGTAGTTCTCATCCTTCCTGGAGGTGCCCGCCCCATAAGAATATAACCGAAGCCACCTTGAGGAAAATCAACACATACTTACCATTCTCCAGAGAGTTTCAAGAGGTTTCCAAACACCCTTCTGAACCCAGGCCAAAGCACCTGAGGCTCATGTGAAGAATTGCTTGGAAATTTGGTGGCATTTGTTGAATTTTTGTAAGAAGACGTTCTAGCAACTTCAATTCTAGGAGTTTCCCCAGGGTTTCCCCTTGGGATGTGTGTGGAGTTGTGTGCAAGGGTGCAGGTGATGCAGGTTTGCTCCAGGAACAGACCTGGAGCTGCTTACACGCCTATCTGTAAAGGCCGAAGTGAGTCACAGAGCGTTTGCAGCGCAGCACACAGCCCTGAACTACATGAGAGTCAGTGTGATGGAAGAGTGTAAAATCTGTAAAATGATGGACTTTGTGATTGCGTGAATATGGGAAATCAAGAGACTGGAGAGGTACTCAGCAGTAAAGAGAGGGTGCTGCTCTTTTTTTTTTTTTTTTTTTTTTTTTTAGATTTATTTATCTATTATGTGTACAGTATTCTGCCTGCACATATTCCTGCAGGCCAGAAGAGGGCACCAGATCTCATTACAGATGGTTTTCAGCCACCATGTGGTTGCTGGGAATTGAACTCAGGACCTTTAGAAGAACAAACAGTGCTCTTAACCTCTGAGCCATCTCTCCAGCCCCAGAGGGTGCTGCTCTTACAGAGGACCAGCACGCACGCCAGGAGGCTTCCAACGCTTGTAAGTCCAGCTCCGGGAGATCTGCCACCTTCTGACCTGCACAGGTCACACCACACACACACACACACACACACACACACACACACACACACACACACACACACACAATTAAAAATAAAATATAGACCAGGGACAGATCCCGATCCCCCTGCCTGGGTGCCCTCACCAAAAGACATGTGTGTTTCTAGTGCCTGCATTCTGCCCCTCCCTAGTGTTGGGTTACAGTCATGTGCTACCACATCTGGTTTTATTAGCAAGCAGTGCTGGACATCGAACCCAGGGCTGTGTGCATGCCTGGTAAGCACTCTACCAACCGAGATGCACACCCACTGTCTCTAGCTTTAGGAAATGTTCCATGTATTATGAATATCTGTGGTCACCCTGTTACACAATCCACACCAGAACTCCTTGTTCTAACTACAACCCAGCACCCACTGATCAATCTCTCCACACCCCCTCTCCCTTGCCCCTGGTAATCACCTTTCTACTCTCAACTTCTGTGGCTGCACATGTTTCATATTCCACATGAGTGAGGTAGTGTGGTGCTTGTCTTTCTGTGTTTGTCTTAGTTCAATGACCTCCAGTTCCATCCAAGTAGCTGTAAATGACAGGGTTTTCATTCTTTTTGTGACTCAGAACACACTGTATGTGTTCACTGGCGTTTTGCTTTGTTTATTTTGCCCATTCATCAGTTGGTGTATGCTTAAGTTGGTCCCATTTCTTTTTTTGTTTGTTTGGTTTTTTTGTTTGTTTGTTTTTTTCGAGACAGGGTTTCTCTGTGTAGTTTTGCGCCTTTCCTGGAATTCACTTGGTAGCCCAGGCTGGCCTCGAACTCACAGAGACCCGCCTGGCTCTGCCTCCCGAGTGCTGGGATTAAAGGCGTGTGCCACCACCGCCCGGTTTGGTCCCATTTCTTGACTGTTGTGAATCGGGCTGCCAAGAACATGGGAGAGTTGGTGTCTCTTCTACGCACTGATTTCACTTCCTCTGAGTTATACCCAGTAGTGGGAGTGTTGGGTCATACGAAGGCATTCTGTTTGCATTTCCTGAGGAACTTCCATACTGCTTTCCATAGTGGTTGTAGCAATTTGCATTCCCACCAACACTGTGCAAGGATCCTGATGCCGCACTTGTTTGCACTGGCTGTCCTTAGTCATTTGGATGGCAGCAGCCTGTTCTGGGGGCAGGTGACATCTCTGGTTTTGACCTGGTCTTCTCTGGTGAATGGTGACGCTGGGCCTTTCCCCCAGTAGGGCTGGCCATTCGAATGCCTTGTTTTTAGAGGTAGCTATTTAAATTGATCGCCCATGTTTATTGAAGGTTTTTTTGTTATTTGATTAGTTTCTATGGTACTGGAGGTTGGAGCAGGGCCTCTTAAATGCTAAGCGAGTACTCCACCATGGAGCCTCAGCTCTGGAGTCCTACAGGATGTCCAGTCAAGTGTTCTAATGTCGTCTGAACTCAGTGTATCTAAGGATGAATGGGCAGGAAGCCACATTCAGCTATCCAGGCAAGAAGTATGTTCCATGCCTGACTCTCTTTACCCTCTCTACCAAACCAGGATGGCATTCTGTCTGGCCTGTCTCTTTGCTATTTCTCAGAGCTGCTCCCCACTGTTATGGCCTCACGTAGGCCCTTATTACCTCTCACCAAAGCCACCTCAGCTCTTCCCTGACCTGGGCCAGAGTGGAGTGGCGGTGATTAAGAAGCTGTTTGGTCATCGCTGCTGCCCTCAGCCTACCCCAGAATTTCCTGCAGATACCCCACTGCCCTGAGATAAACTGCAACTTCTCAGCAGGAACCAGCTTCTGCCTTCCCCTCCCTCCTCCTCCTAACACTCACAAGCAGGTCCTGGCTCAGCAAGCCGCTCTGCCTCTGCGCCCGCCCAGCAGACAGACAGACTTTCAAACTCATCCCCTCCAAGGAGGGCAACCAACCTGCTCCGAAGGCAGATTCAGTTCAGCATCTTTTTAGTAACCTGCCCTTAAGGGCTCCACGCGAGTTTAAATGAGTAAGCCAACTGGTGTAAGACAAGAAAGTGTAAAGGGGTGTGATCTGCCGCACACTGAGGGGGTCCAAGTACCCAAGTGTTTCTTTGAAGCAGATTGTTTCCAAGGACAATCTCTCCTAATGTTCCAGTGTATTGTCTCCCCTCCCCCACCCTTTTCCCGTCTGTCTGATGTGAGCGGCAGAATGCAGGCACTAGGAACACACAGGTCTTTTGGTGAGGATTGAAAGGACAGTAACCATGCATATTCAGTCTGGAGAACAAGGTCTGACTGTGATGACCATTTTGTCAGCATTGGTCATGTCACAGTTACAGAAAGCAGTGAGCCATGTCTAGAGCTGTGCCATGCAGTGGCCTAGCGTGAGCTACATTTGGAAGCTTGAGTTTCTTGTAGTAAAGTACGGAACTGTAAAGAGGGGCTGGAGATGCGGCGGGTAAAAGGCTGGCTGTGTAAGTGTAAGGACCTGAGTTTGGATCCACGGCACCCATGTAAGAGGCAAGCCTGGGCATGTGTACTTAGAACGCTGGGTCTAGGGAGCGGAGCTAGGTGGGTCCTGGGGTTTTGCTGGCCAGCCAAGTCTAAACAGCAAGCTCTAGGGTCAGTGAGAGATGCTGGTTCAAAAAATAAGGTGGAGAAGCGATTGAGGATGGCATGCTGGTGTCATCCCATGGCCTCTGCATGTGCTAACACACACACCACACACCACACACACACACACACACACACACACACACACACCATACACCACACACACCACTACACATACCATATACATACACCCCCCAGACACCACACACACTACACACACACACCACTACACATACCATACACATACACCCACACTCACACAGACAACACACACACACACACACACACACACACACACACACACACACACACACACACTGCAGGGAGTACTCTAGTTACTTACTGCTCAAGTGCTGCCCAGACTTTCAGGCCACTCAAGAAATATTAAACATAATGTAAGTAAAAGGAGATGGAAACAGATTACCTTCAGTAGTAAAGATGGAAGCTGGGATGTACCACAGTTGTTGAGTGTGGGCGTAGGATTTGCAAAGGCCTGGATTCAATCCCCAGCATTGCATGGAAAACAAAACTGGGTTATTTTACCAGCATATCCAAAGTATGATCATATATAATCAATATCAAATTGTTAATGACTGCCCTTCAGTTTATACTATTTTACAGTGATGGCACATTTGAATTTCAATGTTTACTTGTCACCAGAAAAATTTGGTACATATTCGGATTTCATAGTATTTATAGTTTTACCATCAATTCAAATTCTCAGAATATTTTAAACATACTTAAGATTTTTGTAGTAGCTAAATTAAGTATGAAAAAAATTATTTCACGAGCTGGGCATGTGGCTCGGTTGGTAGAGTCTGGCACTCACAACCCTGGGCTTGATCCCTAAACCACACAAAAAACGTCTGTAGTCAGGTGCAGCTATGACCCAGCAGGGCGGGGGAGGGGGTGGAGGTGGAGGGTCAGCCTCATCCCAGGCTATGTAGTGAGTTAGGTACCAGCCTGGAGAGCACACGACTCGGGCCCAAATGTTTTAAAATTTCCATTAAATATTTAAAACCTCATTTAAAAAACTGGTTCGTCTTCTCCAGAAGAATTTGATTTGAACCAAAAGGCCTATGGCTTTTAGAACTGCGTGTGTCCAAGTGAACTCGTGAGCTCCTGGGTCAACTCCTTCACTTTCTCCTCATAGTGACAATACTGAAGCTCCTGACATCCATCATGTCTACATGGGGAGCAAGTTTCCAGTTAAAATTCTTAAATATCAGTGAGGCATCGTGGTGCACGCCTTTAATGCCAGCACTTGGGAGGTAAAAGCAGGTGGATTTCTATGAGTTTGAGGCCAGCATGGTTTACATAGTAAGCTCCTGACTAGTCCGAGATACAAAATGATACCCTGTCTCAAAAAAAAAACCAAAAAACAAAAAACTATATATATATATAACATATATATCCACATTTACCTTTTTAAGCTAGAAAATAATGTAATGAAGATAATTAGCAAATTCAAATTGCAAATGAGTGCATTGTGTTGTCTGTGAACCTATTCCAATGAACACATTAAAATATTGCTTAGTGCCTGGAAACCTATTCAAAGTGAACAAAGCTGCTGCTACCAGTTAGTAGTTACGTGTAACACTAGACAGGACGCACTCTGCCTGACAGGTGCATTGTGCACAGTGGTCAATGCAAACTTCAGTCCTGCAGGAAGTTAATGCATTTGAAAACGTAGTTAATGCATGCGGGGGAATTAATGCCTCTTGAAGATTGAGTGCAGTCCAAATGATACAGACTTTAAAACCAGAGATACCCTATAGCTGTAGTCCAGTGTAAGGTGAAGAGACTGTGGGTCAGCAGCGCGCCCTGTGTCACCCCTGTGTGCTGGCAGCCACTCTCCAGCAGGGGAGAGCTGTTTTCAAGGAACTTGCTCTAATTCTCAGTTTCTATCCGTAAAAAACACTTAATTATTGACAAGCTCATGCAAAATAGTCCAACTTACAAACTCCTGCCTCAGTCTCCAGAGTGCTGGGAATGATTTGATGGGCATGCCTCACCCGCTTCTCTCTCTCTCTCTCTCTCTCTCTCTCTCTCTCTCTCTCTCTCTCTCTCTCGTGTGTGTGTGTGTGTGTGTGTGTGTGTGTGTGTGTGTGTGTGTGTGTGTGTGTGTGTGTTTTATTATTACATTTTCTTTAGGGTATGTGAGCATCTTATGGCATACATGTAGACATCAGAGGACAACTTGCTGGAGTCAGTTCTCTCCTTCCTCCATGTGGGTCCTGGGAATGAGCTAATAAGGTCTTGGAGAAAAGGGCTTTGATCCACTGAGCCAGCCCTCTGTTTCTTTTTTCTACCTCAATGGCTGGTTCTCTGAGGAAAAACATATTCTCATATATATACATCTCCCGAGTCTGTTGTGACTTTATGGTTTCCTTCCCAACATCTCCCATCAGGTTTTTGAAGAGAGCAGGGCCAGACACTGATGTCACCCTCCTCCCCCACTTTTTCCACTTCCATCCTGGTAAGCTACTTTCAGTCCCTCTCAGCCTGATGCTGCCACCTCAGGTCAGCCCTGCTGTCTCCAGTTTTGTCAGGAAGTCTCTTTTCTTACTCCCGCCTTGAAGAGGATTCACCTACAAAACTGGGGGAGGCTTCCCCGTAAATAGCAAAGCTCCCTCCATGATTCAGAAAGCCACAGAGGAAGCTTGAACACTTCTGCTTTGTGTCTTTCTGCCAGACTCAGCTTGAATTTTGGAAAGATTTGGGAGCAGAGCCCCACCCTGGCCCAGGGAGTGTGTGGCTGACGGAGATGCTGCCCACACAGCTGGCTGCCTCTGAGGGCACTGGCAGAGCTGAGGCCGCAGGGTCAGTCTGCTCAGGATTTGATTTCTGCCTCACTCTGTGGAGGAAAAACATGCCACTTTTCCTGTTCATCTGGAAAAAGTGTGCTCTTCCCTCCTGGATGAATGGGAGTGGCCAGGTGGCCGACTCTACAGCAGAACAGGGTCACATAAGGCCTATATCCCACTCTGGGGCCAAAGGAACCCAGAAGGACATCTGGAAGCCTGGCCACATGCTAGTTTACTGCAGCCCCTTTCCTCCCGTGTTGTGTGCGTGAGTGTGTGGGGCCAGGGATGAAAGCCAGGTGTCTTGTCTTTGCTCCACACCATGTTTTTTTTTTTTTTTTTTAGGTTTTTCAAGACAGGGTTTCTCTGTGTAGCTTTGCACCTTTCCTGGAACTCACTTTTGTAGCCCAGGCTGGCCTCGAACTCACAGAGATCCGCCTGGCTCTGCCTCCCGAGTGCTGGGATTAAAGGCGAGCGCCACCACCGCTTATTAATAGTGTGTCTCACTGAACCTGGACCTCACTGATTTATCTAGGCAGACTGGCCAGTGAGCCCCAGGGATCCTTCTGTCTCCATCCCCCAAGAACTGGGGTTACAGACTCCCTGCCACGCTCTTTTCTTTTTATTATCTGATCGCAGGTCCTCATACTTGGGCAGCAAATACTTTGCCCACTGAACCATCTCTCCAGGCACCACTCCTGTACTTTTTAAGACACTTTTTTTTTGGGGGGGGCAGAGCCTCATGTAGCCCAGGTTGGCATCACTAGGCAGCTAAGGACAACCGTGAGCTTCTGATCCTCCTGCCTCTACCTCTGTATTGGAGTTATAGGATTGAGCCACCGTGCCTGACTTCAAAAAGCAATTTTAAAAAACGTATATGAATAAATGATGACTGTGTGTATCTGGGTCACAAAGTGACATTGTGGTTTATGGATATATAGCAAATAATTAAATCAAGCCACTTGGCATATCCATCACCCCATTACTTACTTTTCTTTGTGGTGAGAATGTTTAAGATGAATTCTCAGTGAATTTGAAGTATGTGGTGTTTTTTGTCACATTCACCGTACTATACAGTGACTCCAATAAAGAAAAATCCCTTCCTGCCTTCACTGATGTATTGGAGCCTTTTGGGGCCATCCTCTCTCCATTCCCAGACTTCCAGAACTCTCCACCCTCCTGCTGTCACTTCCTGAATGCTGGGATGACAGCAGGTGCAAGCCACCACCAGGCCCTGCACTCTCCCTGTGTTTTGAGTTCTGCTGGTTTAGAGTCCCTATGCTCAGTCTGTCTGTCTGTGCCTGGCTTATTTCACTTAGCACGATGTTCTTTTCTTTGATTTGTTGTCACAAGGACCACATTATCTTTAAAGGTAAAAAGCATCCCAGATATGCATTTACCACTTTTCTTTGTCCGTTCACCTGCTGATGGACACTTAGGTTGATTCTGTCATCCACTGTGGTGAGTGGTCTGCTGGTAACTCAGGCGCAGACTTCTGTTCAACATACTCATTTCCAATCTTTCCAGGCGCAGACTTCTGTTCAACATACTCATTTCTAATCTTTCGGGTCAATACCCAGAAATGAGGTTAGATCCTGATATAATTCAGCTTTTTTGTTGTTATTGTTTTGGCTTTTCGAGACAAGATTTCTCTGTATAACCCTGGCTGTCCTGAAACTCACTCTGTAAACCAGGCTGGTCTTGAATTTACATTTTCTTGAGGGTTTTTTTTTGGGGGGGCGGGGGTACATGCCACACTACATGTAAAGGTCAGAGGACAACCTTTGCATGTCAATTCTCTCCGTCCACTATGCGGATTCTAAGGCTTGAACCTCGGTCATAGGCTTGGAAGCAAGTGCCTTCACCAGCCCTAGTTTTAGCAATTTTAAGGACCCTCCATGCCACTTCCCATGACTGCTGAGCCAACTGACATCTGTACCCCCATTGCATAGGGTTCCCTTTTCTTCAAACCCCCTGCATCCCACTCTCTTATTTAGATTCGAACTGTTCTATTATCCTGTGTCACCAGGATTTTGTAAAGAAAGATGGAATGATTTTAATCTCTTAGGGAAAGAGCATTCAAGAGTCAGGTATCTGAGCTGGGCATGGTGATATGTGCCTTTAGTCTTAGTACTCATGAGGCAGAGGCAGGTGGATCTCTGTGAGTCTGAGGCTAGCCTAGTCTACATAGTGAATTCTAGGATAGCCAGGGTATGTAGAGAGACTGTGTCTAAATTAAAAACAAAGCAAAACCTACCTTTCTCTGTTGAGGTGCCCTTGTGTTGAGCCTAAGACTTCAGATTGCTAGAATGAAAGGAGACACCAAGCAGCTTTGGAATCTTGGTCTTGGCATATGATGGCCTGTGGTCTTCGATCCACGAGGTACACCCAGGGTGGTGCATGTACAGATAGTATATGAGAGTCTCTGGTGATAGTCTCTGGTGGGTTCCAACCAGCCAGCTGAGGTTCCTGCATGAGATTCCCACATGCCCAGAATAGTTTACTTACAGTCTTCCTGAAGCAGGGGCATGGAACCAAGGGACCTTCCACATTTCCTTGAGGGCTTTTGATTCCAAAATCATCCTGGATTGGTCAAGAAACATGCAACCCTCTGAAAGAGCCTAGTTGTGGGCAGTCTTTCTTTAAGTGATTGTTACGCCGAGGAGACACGATGTTACCCAAGATGCTGTGGGAGGACCATATGGGCTTTTGGATTTCATTTGTGTTAGAGTGGGTGTTGATGAGTGAAAGGAAGAGCAATGTGTTCCCCAGAGGCGACTGCCGTGTCTTGGGCTGTAAAATTGTATGTTACTTTACTGAGGCATAATATTCATGGTTTTAAATGACTAGAGATTTTTATGAAGGATTTTTAAAAAGGATCTTTAAAAGGACACATTCTTAAGGGAATGGAGAGATGGCTCAGTTGGTACCCAAGCAAGAAGACCCGAGTTTGAGCCTTTGAATCAGCTGGGCATGGTGGTGTGTACTTGGCAAGCTCCAGGCCAGTGAGAAACCCTGTCTCAAAAGACAAGCTTAAGGAGAAATGACACCTAAAGTTGACTTTTGACCTCCACGTTCACATGAGCACACATGTACACATGCCTGCATACATGTATGCACCCAAAAAGACATGTATGTGCACATACACATACACAAAAATATTGAGGTAAAATACACATAAGATAAATTAGTTACCATACTGAAGTGTATATTCACATTATTTTTGCAGTCTTCACTACTATTCATTCACAGAACTCATTTCATCTTGTAAGACCACAGCACTATCTGAACCTGGTAGGCCGTGAGTGGATAATGCTAGACTTTAGAGATGTGGTGGGGAAAGGTTATTTGGAGAGAATCACCTGCAGATTTACCTTGGCCTGACAGCAGCCATCTTGCATCAAACCGCCATGATTGCCCCTGAGTAGCTCTGGTTGGTCCCCAACCCCTCCTTCCCACATGGCTTCCTCGCTTACTCCAAACAAACAAACATTAAAGTGATGGTGGGTCTCACTGCCACTCTGGTGCCAGGACTATCCTGTCTCTTTGAGTTTCACTTGAGGTGCTGTAGGTGCCTTCTGGCTTGGACGAAGTCACTTTTATCCGAATGTCTTTCTGACACAAGATCAACCTGGTCTTGCTACTGAGGGGTAAGGGGGACATCTCTTCTATCACTAAGTCCCCAGTAAGTTTCACTCTGAACAATCCTGGACCGTTTTCATTTGGTCTCACTGTGGTTATAGAGCTGGTTCTCATATATGGGACCTGATTATTCTGGAACAAATAGTAATAAAAGGAATAGATAAACGTTGTCAGGTTCATCATGTGTTTACCATTCTAAGAATCTGGAGCAATAACTTGATTATTCTTTCTATCACTAGATCTTGCTATTGATTCTATGTAGCCCACAAGAATATTGAGATCTGAGAAACTGTACCTTGGCCCAAACTTCATAGCTAGGAATATGTATATAAAGATTATTAGAACAAATGGTCCACAGGACTCCACCTACTTTATTTTGGAGAGAGGATAGCATGAGATCTAAAGAGACATCTCTGTTCTGAGTGGCTATGATGGGAAATTTTTAACTAAGCTGGGAAGCTGGCTTTGCTGCCCTTGGATCTGGACTTCCCCCGGCTACTTCTCATCAGAAGGATGACACAGGTTCTCTTGTTGAAGGGTATACCCACGATGAGCTGCCCACGATGAGCTGCCCACGATGAGACAGCACAGAGAACCTTTAAGCAGCTACCAGGCTGTCAGCAGTTACTGTGGATGAGACTGTTGACTCATCTGCAACTCAGCGTGTGCCGGATACTCCCTAAAGAGCATCAATAATCCAACCCTGGCAGGAATACATTTTCTATGGGACCCTCCCCCCATTTCGATTCATGTTTCCTTTTTTAAAAGATTTATTAGCTGGGTATGGTGGCACATGACTTTGATCTCAGCACTTAGGAAGTAGAGGCAGGAGGATTTCTGTGAGTTGGAGGCCAGCCTGGTCTACACATAGAGTTCCAGGATAACCAGAGTTACATAGTGAGATCATGTCTCAAAAAGATGAAAAAACAAACAAAAGATTTATTTGTTTTTATTTTATCTGTGTAGATGTTTTTATCAACATGTACCTATGTGCACCACATTCATGCAGTGCCCACAGAGAACAGAAGAGGGCGCTGGACCCCTGAAACTAGAGTTAAAGGTGGTTGTAGCCACCATGTGTGTGCTGGGAACAGAACCCAGGTCCTCTGCAAAGGCAAGTGCTCTTAGAGTGCTGAGCCATCCCTCCAGCCCTGAATTCCTGTCTCCTTTGTGTGCTCTCATCAGTTCCTCGGCTGTGGTGTGCTTGATCTGAAATAAAGGAAACCAGTTCTAACTCAGCGACAAAAGAGTTGTGTTTTAAGCCTGGAGGTCACTGCCATGATAACTTAAAGCAACCACTATCTGGGCTGGAAAAATCGTATCATTACTTTGCCTCGTCAGAGGCTTTGCATGAATGCCCCTGGTACTTTCGGTTCATAGCAAAACCCAGAAGAGCTATTTCTGGTGCTCTTCACTCTCCTGCTGGTGCCTGCTGGGTGCTCCTCAAACTGCAGGGTAAACTACTGGTGAGCTCACTGTCTAACCCCCCGGACTCTGGATTCAGACTAATCGATCATATCATTCCCCAGTGAGCTGCTGGAGCCAACAGCCAACAGCACTGTGTGTGTGTGTGTGTGTGTGTGTGTGTGTGTGTGTGTGTGTGTGTGTGTGTGTGATACATACTAAGGTCTTGTTATGTAACTCAGCTGCCTCAAACTTTCCATCCTCCTGCATCTGCCTCCTGAGTACTATGGGTACTCCTGTGACTATGGATGTGGCTACGTGTCCAGCATTTTCGTATTATGGTTGGCCCAGCCATGGACTCCCCACTTGCAGCCACAGGATGCCAGGCCCTGTTCTGTTCTAAGGTGGGCACAGAATGTGCCTGTTGGAATCCTGTGGCTTCATCTGGAGATGGCATGCTGCTGACCACGTGTCAGCTCCAAGGGGCATTATCCCAAAGGCTGGATGGCTGAATGTAGAAAGAGGTATAGCAGTTAGAAATGTGTTTCTGGATTTGCACGGCACCAGTTTTTGCTTTTGACTAGCAGCCAGCCCTCTGCCAGATTAAGTATGCTCCAGTCTCAGCCAACTCATCTGGGAAGTGTATTTTCTAGTTGTTTTAGCTTTTGCATCCAATTTGTTAAAGAGGAAAAACAAGAAAGCAGCTGATTTAGCAAGAAACACGTCAATTTAAAATTTTAGGGTTTTAAAGGATTTTTTACATTTTAAATTATGTGTATGCATTTTGCTGGGGTGGGGTGTGTGTGCATATGACTGCAGATGCCCGTGGAGGCCAGAGGTGTCAGATTCCCTGGAGCTGGAGTTACAGGCAGTTGTAAACTTTCTAACATGGGTGCTGGGAACCAAATTCGGGTCCTCTGCAAGAGCAATCCAAGCTCTTAGCTGCTGAGCCATCTCTCTAGCCCTAACAACTTGAAAGTTTGCATTGCATTATTATTTTGAAAGCTTCTGGAATTGTCATCTGCCTTGAGACTTAATTTGCATGTGTGCACACTCATGTATTGACATGGTGTGACACAGAGAGCATGGGATCGGAATGAGCACCCCATCACTCTCACGCAAGTGACCTGGGACCCCACGCTTAATTTCCCTGCGGTGTACAGGATAACACCCACTTCTCTAGATGAGAAGGACAAATGAGATAGTCTTGATAAAATATCTGTTATTTAATGCAACTCAAGGGTCAATATTTATTTAAAAATAAACTCCCTCTTGCTGCAGAGAGCAGGGTATGGACTGTAAGCTCAGCTTTCCTGATGCTTCGAGCCTCTCAGCAGTAAGGAAGCTGCTGTGGAGGAGCAAGCCTGCTTCCTGGGGCTGAGGGCAGCTGGAAGCTGGTGGTGACGTTGGGGAAGGCTGCAGAGTCCTCACCAGCAAGAGTAGTGAGGTAGCTCTCAATGGCCTTCAGGATTTTTGATGATAGATTATTCTTGAACAGACAGGCATGGGTGATAATCCTCCATTCTGAAGGGTTCAGTAGTAGAATAAAAGTGTGCACAGAGCAGGTGTTCATCCAGCTACTGTGGACAGAGTGACAGGGTGCTCAGGACCCCTCAGTGAGACTCTGGTCCATCTCGGACCACTCCGCGTTCCTCTTGCCCCCGGCTGGAGAGGGAGTGAATCAGCTTTCTCTGCAAGTTAAAAGGTAGAACAATTTCTGCTTGTTTGTTTTTTTAAGACAGGCTTTCTCTGTGTAGCCAGGGCTGTCCTGGAACTCCCTCTATAGACCAGGCTGGCCTTGAACTGTCCCAGGCCTTTTTGTTTGGGCCACTAGCCAGCTCCCAAATCATGAAATGGAGACTTTTTATTAATTATGAATGCTCAGCCTAGCTTAGGCTCGTTTCCGGCTAACTCTTTTAACTTAACCCGTTTCTCTTCATCTACATTTGCCTCAGAACTTTTTACTCTTCCTTTTATATGTCTTACTTTCACTGCTTCTCTGTCTGTCTTTCTGTCTGTCTGGCTGGCGGCTGCCTGGCTTCTGGCCCCGGGCATGTCCCTCTCTTTCTCTCTCATTCTCTCCTCTCTTCTTTGTTCTTCTCAAGCCTAACTTTCTCCTCCTACTTATTCTCTCTGCCTGCCACCCCTGCCTATCCCTCTCCTGCCTAGCTACTGGCTGTTTAGCTTTTTATTAGACCAGTCAGGTGCCTTAGGCAGGCAAGGTGAAACATAATTAAACATACATCCTTATATCATTAAACAAATGCAACATATTAGAGTAATATTCTGTAGCATAATGTAACACATCTTTACATAGTTAAATATTTCACAACACTGAACTCATGTAGATCCGCCTGCCTCTGCCTCCTGAGTGCTGGGACTAAAGGCATGTGCCACCACACCCGGCTAGAACAATTTTTTTTTTTTAAATCTCACAACCATCAACAATAAAATGATGCAGCCAATCAGAACCCCAAAGGTCTCCAGTCCTTAAGCACTGTTGAGGGCTGTTGAGAAAGGGGTGGGAAGGGAGGGAGAAGACTCCACAGCGCTGCTGAATGCCGGCCTAAGAGTTGGTGTCACCAGCTACGTTTATAAAGCTTGAAGCTTATGCCTGGGGAAACTGAGGCAAGACATTTAACAAGGTAAGGATTGAACTAAACAGGCAGGGCCCAACACCTAGGCCATGTTGGCTCTTTTTGTTTTAGTAAAATGTTGACTTTTAACTTTGCTTCTTAATACAACACAGAACTTAACCTCAGTTGGTTTTTGCTCTTGTGGCATTCCAATCGATTTGAAATATTTCAAACAGGACAGAGGAAGCTGGGCTTGATTGCTCATGCCTGAGACCCCAGAACTCAGAAGGCTG